AATAATAGCCAAGGGCACTAAGAATCGTTTTAGAAAAATCGTTTTTTTTAATATTCTATAAATTTAACTATTCAAAAATATGTGTACCAAAAAATTTTTCAAAATTTAAATTATTTTCGGAGATATAGCTCTTTGACCTTTGACCTTTGATAATCATCATAATCATAAATTGTCTTTTGCGATACGATACCCACGATTTCTCAAATTTTACTGAACAGATTTACTTGAAATTTTCACATAGTCTTCTTTATAGACTTCTTTTTGGTATGAACTACATTCATCTCTAAATTCCGATACTTACTTTTTTAAATTTGAAAATATATATCAAAACTGGTCGTAAAAATTAATTTTTCAGACAGTCGTTATTTTATAAAAAATATTTTTTTGACTTGTCCGTAGTTCATACCATAGCGACACTATTCTAGATTAATAATAAAGTTATATTTTTTTCTTTGGATTATTTAAAAGGGTGGCCAGGTGTATTTTTTTTTTTGAAACACCTAACTTTATGAACTTAGAATTAAAACTTTATGGCTATTTATAATTATTATAATTTTTTTATTCTCAAAACAATAATAAAAAACTTGAAAAAAAAATGTAGTGAAAATATTGCTTGTCTATTTTTAAGGTTTTTTAAAAATCGCATAAGATTCATGCCCTTAGACCAAAATACCCTCTTAAAGCGCTCTTTTCTTGAAGGATATTATTTCGCGCTGCTGGAGGTAAATTTTAGTTTAAAAAATGAATGTTGTATTAAAAATTAATTATTTGTTTATTTACGCATTTTTGTTTATAAACTTATTCGTACTGGATTATGCATTCAGAAGCTATTAAAGCGATTTCTTCGTTTCTGTATCCAACTTTCGCGCAATGAATCTTGCTTGTAAATTGCAACGATAAATAGTACGCGCACTTGCTATTCATAGAATTTCTTTCGGTAACACAATTTTTCGATTTGAAATTCTTGCTTATATTATTTATTATATGTTTCCTTTATATGACTTACTTATCATTACATTTCATACAAAATTATTTGACATGTAAAGGCATATTTAATTATTATATTTAACAAATGCATATGAATCCAAAGCGTGAGTAATATTAATATGCTATAAACGAATAGATATTCCTAAAGTATATATTTTCTTTTATTAAAAAAAATAATGTACTTTATGTATTTATACATTACATATATTTCTTTTTGAAATACATACTACATTTTTTAATGTCAGAATATTTATTCGAAATGAGTTTTAACGAATTTAGTTCTTCTTATTATCTTATATTGCTGAGAAAAACTAAAACGCTGTACAGTGTTAATTAATAAATTTTATACTTAATTTTTGCAAAAAATTGTAAATAAAATAAAATTGTTAAGTTGTAAATTAATGTGTATAATAGAATTTATTATATATTTTTTGCAGAATTTAAGTTCAAGATTTATTAATTAACATTGCACAGCTTTAAAGTTTTTTTTTCTTGCCGTAATTACATGCGATAAATAATGTTGACGATTTTGAAACTTTGGGTACTTTTAATATCATTTTATTAAGAAACCATTTATAAATTTTTACTAAAATTAAATAGAGTATAACAAAAATTATGTAAAATGCGCTGAAAGTCATGCTTGATAAACATTATCATATATTCTAGGTTAATATTATATATATATATATATATATATATATATAAGTATAAAGTTTATTCATTGCTTTTCTTTTATTTTCTAATGTAAATGAAACAAATATATATTTTATTCATAAATAGAGAGCGAATATGCAACGATTATTTGTGTATAATATATATACAAAAAAAACTGTTATATGTTATATTTTATTCCATTTATTCATATATTTTTGCATATTAGTTCAAGAGTTCAAAAAAATCATGTTCGTGAAAGATTTGTGATGATGGAACGTACATAGTTCCTAAACGTTCACATTGACTAATATTTTTTAACAAACTTCTTGGCTTTTTATTATCATTTCTTGTTCGAAGACATACAGTTTTAACTAAATTGATATATATATATATATATATATATATATATATATATATATATTCTTTTTTAACAATTAATACAATAAATAAAAAACAATTGGTTATTTTTTAATTTTTAGATACGGTCTATCATTAGGTTTTTCTGTAATATTGATCAATAAATACATTTTCGCATTTTTTGCCAAAAGAACATGTAAAAGGCATTATTGAAGAATATTTGAAGATTTTAAATAAAAATGTATTCTTTATGAAAATAAAAATAAAAACTATATAATATTATATTTTATACCAAATTATTTGACTCACAAATGCATATTCAATTATTGGATCGAGCCAAGAAGTTTATTAAAAAATATTATTTATAATCTGAACGTTTAGGAACGTTGAAGCATATTTGAAAATAATTAGCAGCTCATTTGTCGAAATGAAAAATATAATTAAGAAAAAATAATGTCCTTTATTTATTATATACGTTTCGACACTTGATGTGTGTCATCATTTAGTTATCTACAATACAATATAAGGAAACAAATATATAAAGTGAGAAGAACTATATATACCACCAGGTCAAAAGCATAAAACTTAAAACAATATTAAATATGAAATTATTTTTTTTTATTTTTTTTTATTTTACACACCTTTTACAAGTATCGAAACCTATAATAATTAAGGAAATTATTTTTTCTTAAATATATTTCTTATTTTGTAAAATGGGCTACTAATAATTTTCAAATATATATAATACAAATTGTACAATTGTACAATTGTTTTATGGGAAACTGACATACTGAAAAAATATAGAATATAAAATAAAATTTTAATCGTTAATTTTTAGTAGAGAATGAATCGTCCTTAACACAATTCCTCGAACCTTCGAACAAAGTTTGCTATTTCACCTGTATGACGTACACACATTACACATTGAAGACACCTGCACACAAAAGTACAGCTACATTTACAAATACAAATACAAAGGCAGAACGTCGAACAAAGTATTCGAGGAAAATGGAACTAAATAGACATATTTAGACATACATATATAAATATATATATATATATATATATATATATATATATGTTTATATATATATATGTTTATATATCTGCTTGTACAATGCATTATTTACTAATGGTGTGTTTTACTTACATGTTTTGTTCTCTGTATTCCAAAATTGTGTCAGTTACAAAAAAGCTTTACAAAATTTACACAGCAAGTAACACAAAAATCTATTCATTGTTATTAAGTGGGTTTCAAAGACATAATCGCCCACATACACTGCGTGCGTATTTACAGCAACATTTTTAATATCGAAGTCATTTTGAATCACTTAAGAACACCTGTGGATTGAGCCTCCACCACGCGAAATAACACTGAATATATATATATTATTACCGGCCGCGGTAATAAAATAAATAATTATTAATGAGTTTTATATTTACTTTTGTTAGGTCTATTTTACTGTTTCAATATTTTTATATACACTTGTTCGTGGAATGAAATATTTGCGCTTTGTTGCGCTTCAGAGACGTGTTATGTGGTATGAGTTCTTTCCAATACTGTTTTTGTAGCCATTCCTACTCTAAATATTATATCTTGGCGTTCTTTCGTTTGTGGAACAAGTAAAAATCCACATTCAAGTCCACCAGTCTTCTGTACTGATTGTGAGAGAATAGTGCGTATGTTCTTGTTCTTACTAAGACACTATATTAGGCGAAATTGAAATTTATTTGAAAAAAAAAAAACTGAAATACTTCTCCAAAGTGAGCCACTCTACGTTGCGTTATTATTATGTTTACCATATTTACATTGCTAACTTTGCTTTTTCATCATCTAAAAATTTTTTCATTGATATTTTATATAATATACAATATCACAGATTTTTTTTTATGTTATTATATACTAGGTGTACTACTAATACCTAATTCAAAATGTTTTACTTTTCTGTTAACAATCTCTGCTCATTGTCCTTTGTTGTCTAAACAGCTGTATAAAATTATTATATATGAAAAACAAATTAATGAATAATCAATTACCTAAGGAGGTGTTCTGGTCTAGGGGCATGATTCGCATAAAATTTTATGCAATTTTAAAAAAAGGCGAGAAAATATTCTTACTATCAATTAATGTTTTGAGAAATAGAAAAAAAATAAAAATTGAAAATAGTCATAAATTTTTATTTCGAGCAAGTGATGAAGTGGGGGGTTTCAAAAATTGGCAACTTATTGATTTCAAGATTAGCGAGGTTGATGGTTGGGTTGGTGGCTCCCTGCTCAATACTAATATTTAAAGTTAAATATTTTTCTGTTAACTTATAGCATGTTCTCAAAATCCCATTTCGCGAATTTGATGAATCTTGAAAGACATTGTTATCATAGTTCACCAGGATTGTGACAAATATTCAAAGTTGGTAAATTTAACTGATTTCAAGATTTGCGCGGTTGATGGATGGGTAGTTCCGCGCTCCATACTAATATTTAAACAGATAGTATGTTCTCAAAAACCCATTTTGCGAATTTAATGAAACTCAAAAGACATTGTTATCATAGTTCACTAAGATTGTGACAAAAATATAAAGTTTGTAAATTTAATTGATTTTAACATTTGCGCGGTTGACGGATGGGTAGTGCCGCGCTCAATACTAATATTTTAGTCCTCCAAATATTCTGAAAAAAATACATTTTGATTATTAATCTGCATAATTAAATTTGATATTCTCTAATTTGTAAAAAATAGTAAAAATCGGAATTTGGGGATGAGCGTAGTTCATGCTGAAGAAAAGTCTATTAAAAAAAAACTCTGTAAAAATTTTAGGTAAATTGGTCCAATGTAAATTGGGAAATCATAAAGAAATTAAACATAAATAATAAAAGAAGAGATTTGTTTTATTTTTATAACATGTACATATATAAATTATTTAAAAATAATCATTGTATTAAAAATTTATCTTCATAATGTATCGATTGCTTAAAGTCTGTTTAACCAAAAGCCCATAAAAGTATGATTTATTACAGAAAATATAAAATATTGTGAGAAAAGATATTATATAACCTCATGTTTTTGATGAATTTTCATATGTGTTTTTAAAGCAGTCATTTGAATAAAAGCTTTTGCACAGATAGTGCATACATTAGGTTTTTCGCCCGTATGTGTCATTCGGTGATGCTTCAAAGTCTCAGCTTTAGCAAATGATCTTTCACACAAGTCACAATGAAATGTTCTTATTCCTGCATGCATTCTAAGGTGCCTATCTAGATTTCCTTTTGCAGCAAATGATCTTTCACATACATTGCATGAGTATTTTTTGATTCCAGTATGATACACCATATGCCTTCGTAATTCATGTGCTGATACAAATCTGTGTCCACATGTCGAGCAAACTTGATTCTTTATTCCTGTATGTCGTTTAGAATGCTCTTGTAATTTCGATTTCACTTTAAAAGATTTTCCGCATTGCTCACATTTGAAAGGACATTCATCAGAATGAGTAAGCATATGCCTCTGGAAAAAATACTTATATGCATTCAAACTTGAATGATATCAATTACATGATATACATATTTAAATTTCATATATATATATATATATATATATATACATATATATATATATATATAATGTGTGTGTATGTATCTGCGGGTGTGAGTATAAAATTACAAAGAAAATAATATAGTCAACTTACAGCCAATCTTGAATTAGTTATAAATGCTTTTCCACAAGTTTCACATATGTATTCTTTCTGAAATAAATTAATTATTATATATTAATGTTATTCGGATTATCTTAGTCTTTGTTTACTTATATTATAACTTACTATTCCTGCATCTCCCAAATGTATTTTTATATGTGCATTTAGAGAACTTTGCTGATAAAATGATTTGTCACATTGCAAACAAAAATAATTTCTTGGTCTTCTTAGATGAGTTAACATATGTTGTTTCAATCCGGACATCTTATTAAACTCTCTATTGCATGTTGCACAGTAGTAAGGCTAAAAAATAAGGTTTCATTATTTTTTTATTTCTTATTTCTCTTTTTCCCAACTTCTACCTTCTTTCCCTCATGTTTACGTAAATGAGCTTCTAAACCTAAATTTGTTTTCATTTTACGACTGCAAATATGACATTCCAACTTAAATTTTTCTCTGGCTTTATATCTAGTATTCGTTTTTTTGCACACGCTCTTTCTTAACCTTTTTTTAGGTTGTTTTTTTACTTCATAACTAGGATCATATTCTTCCCTATCATCTGCAGAGTCTAAAATAGAAACAAAATTAAAGAATTACACTGACATTTTAAATCCTAATTATAATTGAAAAAATATGCATAATAATTTGAAATTCACTCAAATTTGTCTTTTATATTACCATCAGATATATTGTTACTATCTAAATTTGCTTCTGGTTCTTCAAGCTTCAATTCTAATGGATAATCTGGTATCTCTTGCTTAACGTTGATTACCTACAAACAGATAAATTTCTATATAAGATGCCTTTTATAAATCAAAAATAATTTTAACTGTACGTTTCCATATACCTGCTGTCTTAAGGTCACGTCATTTCGAATACACTGCTCCCTAAATTCTAGGACTGATTCTAATTGTGCAACACATTTTTTACATATTTTATGTGGTAATCCATCATTTTCATTTAGCTAAAATTAGGTATATTAATCTTTAGTTTATTAAGGCCTCAAATTGGAATAAGTAAATTACTGAAAGTTTAAAATATGCATGATTTATGATTTAATACAGCGTTTTTGCATTATGATTTTGTTTTGAGTTTTACTTGATAAAAGCATCTACTCTATAAGTTTTATACTGCCTTAATAACATACCTCAATAGAAGTAGTAAGAGAATAAATGTAAGACAGTTTGTCGTCCAAGAGAGTTTTCATATCACACTCATTGTTGCACAAGCAAGCTCTACACACGTTCTCAAATAAAGGCAACATGTTGATATTGAGTAATTTATAATATATAACAATTTTAATTCCTCATTAGGGTTTTGTTGGGCACATCCAGCCGTAATTGAAATTATTAACAGCGCCACATTGCTGTAATACAATTATTTGTATAATTTACGTATGTAAGTTAATGAAATATTTGGTTGTATTTACCATTAGTTACAATTATATCTTCAGGACATAGTTTTGTGTTTAATTGATTTATTTATTTGTTTATTCATATGCAAGCCTTGATCAATAATAAAACATTATTACAAGCAATTGTCAAACATAATAAAACAGCAGAAATGCTATACATGCATAATTTATTATCATATTATATTATGATTATTAATAATAATTAATTGCAGAGTAAAATTTTCAGTTTATATCAATTTTAAAAGATTTTAGCTGTGTTTTGTTAAAATTTTTTAGTTGTTTTTATTTTGGCTGGTATACTTGTGTCGATCTGTCACCAACAATGCACATAGAGACCATACGTCAGGGGAATGCTGAGATTGGACATATCAACACTGCACAAATGGTGTCATAACTGTCATATCCTAGACATGTCATATGTCATATACTCTTTTCTTATCTATGGGTGTCATTGTCAAATTATAACTAAACTTTATTTATTTAATTTAATATTTATTGTTAGATGTTGTAATAAAATTCATAAAATAAATTAAAAAGTTACACTTGATTTAATTTATAAAGTAAAATCCAGTAAACATGACAACCTGCTTCATTTACGCATAAAATCACACGTGTAGATTCAGCTTGAATTGTTGATTGACAGTTATTTGCGAAACAAAACATTTCCTTTCCATTCATTTATTAATTTTGTTTATAAGTTTTATCACATTCTCCTTATAAAAATGGGGTTTTTGAGTATTCTAAAAAAAATGAAACAAAAAGAAAAGGAAATGCGTATACTGATGCTGTATCCTTTTCCAAAAGAAATTTTAGGCAATATAAATTTTACTGAACCGTATGACGACCTTATCTAGAATTAGTGGTCTTGATAATGCAGGAAAAACGACAATATTAAAAAGATTCAATGGCGAGGCAATAGACACAATATCGCCTACATTAGGCTTCAACATAAAGACTTTAGATCATAGGGATTATAAGCTGAATATGTGGGATGTGGGGGGACAAAAATCCTTACGGTTTGTTAATATTAATTAACTCCTATTCCTTCACATCAATTCAATTCTGTATACTCTCGTAGATCATATTGGAGAAATTATTTTGAATGCACAGATGGTCTTGTATGGGTGGTTGATTGCGCTGATAAAAGACGTATGGAATCTTGTCGGGAAGAGTTACATATTTTATTAGAAGAAGAACGACTGGCAGGTGCTACATTATTAATTTTGGCAAATAAACAAGATTTACCTGGCGCGTTGAGTGCACATGAAATATCTGAGGTAGATTATTACTTGAATTATGAGTTATTTTTTTCGCTTTATTTAAAAATATACTTTGTATTATAGTTTCTCAATCTTAGTGGTATAACGACACATCATTGGAATGTTTTTGCCTGCAGTGCTGTTACTGGCAAAAATTTACTTACTGCAATCAATTGGCTCATTGATGATATAGCTGCTCGAATATTTACTTTAGATTGATTTTAATATTCTTATCTTTATATTTATATTACATTATTATTTATTGTCTCTAAAATTATTCACTTAACAGTACGTTTAGAAGAGGATAACATAATCTGTGTAGCTGTGAATGTGAAATATGATACATATGTAAACTATTATTATCATTATGATACATTTTCTTTAAGTTTACATATGCTTAGTCATTTGCCAATATAGTAAAAGCTTTTCTTATTAACTAAAATACGAATTGTTATTGAATAAAATATTTTTTTTATTAACGATGCACTGCTATATTAGCTCAATGTGTCTAGTATCAAACCATATAAGGCATTTCCTTATCAAGAACGCTTTAGCAAACGCATTTAATTATTATTAGTAATAATATTTTATATAAATGATTGATATATTTATATTTATATATTTTGTATACAAATATTTTATCTAATACAGATTGAAAATGAAAATAATCTTTACAATATAACATTCTATTCTAATATTATCATCTTTTTCTAAAAATAAGGAAATTATAATTTTAAACCAATAATCATTTATTTTAGGTCTAAATTTTATCTAATATAGATTGAAAAAAAAAAATCATCTTCATCTTCATCTTCTTCTAAAAATAAGGAAATTATAATTCTAAACCAATGATCATTTATTTTAGGTCTAAATATATTGTATAACGTTATAAAAGTGAATATATTTTCTGTTTATTTTAATTTGTTTCTGAGCAAAAAATGAGATTTTTTCAAACTAAATTTAATTTTGTTTCTCAGCTTTTGGTAAAACAAATAAACAATTAACAAGTGCGTCTATTAAATTTCTCGAAAACTAGTGATTAATTTGATCGAATTGGTTGACGTTATTTGATAACATTGATGGCCATCGAAATGTCGAAGAATGAACAAATCTCTCTATTCTTCTGATTTCACAAATTACACAAAAAAATGTTATAACATCTGCTTGGTCAAGTTGTTTCCTAAATAAATTTTTCACAACATTACTTCTGATGGTTTAACGCACTTTCATATTTTAGTAAAATATTCAATAATCATAATGATATATAATATAAAAAATTCCGCTACATATAATCAAAATTCGAGCTCTTTATAACTTAAGTTATGAGGTTCAACAAAAGGCGTAATCATTAATGTTTTTTTAAAGGTTCAAGCAAAATTCGCAAAAATATTAAATTTGAAATAATTTTTTTTAAATAAACAATTATTTTGTCAAAACAAGCAGAAAGTTTTTTGAATAATTTAAATCGGATCGCTTAGTTCTCTCAAAAACTACCTTTTTTGCACATTTAGCTCAGTATCTCCAAAACGGCTGAATCTGCCTTTGCCAAAATCTAATTACCACTTCTGCCCGTAATTATAAATTAAATATTTTTTAAATCATTCAAATCGGATGTTCCATCCTCTCAAAAACTCGATTTCTATTTTCCGCCATTTTTTCTCCGTTTCTCCAAAACGGCTGGACCTGCCTTTGCCAAAATCTAATCAGTACATCTCCCTATCAATAGGAATCGAATGTTTTTTTTGGAACCATTCAAAAAAGTTGATCCGTGCGCACGAAAACGTGGACGAAAAATTGTATCCATACGTACATACACACACATTCATTTTTTCAGAAGTATGCCAAAATGTTCAGAAACCTTCAAAACGTGAAGAAATGTAAAAAAATTCAATTTCGATTTTTTGACGATTACAATAACTTACCCTACGGAAAGTTAATAATAATAAAAATAGAGATATATTGCGATTTGAAAAGGCAAAATAGATTTAAGTTATCTCCAAAACAGCTGGATCTGACTTTGCCAAAATCTAATCACCACTTCTGCCCGTAATTACAAATTGAATATTTTTTTTAAATCATTCAAATCGTTGTTCAATTCTCTCAAAAACGGATGTTCCATCCTTTCAAAAACTCGATTTCTATTTTCTGCGCTCTTTGCTTCGTATCTCCGTAACGGCTGGACCTGCCTTTGCCAAAAACTAATCAGCATCTCTCCTTATCAATAGGAATCAAATGTTTTTTGAATCATTCAAATCGGTTGATCCATACGCCCGAAAACGTGGACGAAAATTTGTATCCATACATACACACACACATCCATTTTTTCTGAGGTATGCCAAAACGTTCAGAAACCTTCAAAACGTCGAGAAATGTAAAAATTTTCAATTCCGATTTTCGGCCCATTACAATAACTTACGCTACGGGAAGTTAATGATAATGAAAAATATAGATTTATTGCGAGTTGAAAAGGCGAAATAGATTTAAGGATTGAACCCTCCGATTCGAGAGCACTGTATCATTGTCAGAGCTAGTTCGCGTCATCGCAGATTCCCCTCGCTCGCATATAAGCGTAAGCGCACAATTACAGATCCTAGCTACACGAAGCAAGTTCGAGCGAACGAGCGAACGAACGCACGAACGCTGCGGTGAATTCAAGCATAGCTGACGCTACTCGTCTCGTACTCGGCGGTCGGCGCGACTGCAAGCGATCATTGCGAAGAAGAAACGTCTTCGTGTAATACCGATTGAACCTCGCCCGCCTTCGGCGGGCTCGTTTGATCGCCATAACACATTTAACTTAAACTCAAACTCATGTGTATTTAAATTTGTTTTAAAACCTATTGTGTCAAAAGTTATACAAGTAATACTAGTCGAATTAGATACTGTAACAAGTGCTTCGGTTTGTGTTTCCTTAGTTTTCAAGTTGAACAGAAAATATCAAACAGTTCATCATCTGAATTCGTTAATTTCCGAAGTAAATCCTAAAATAGAAAATTAGGGCTAACAGTAATATGCTAGCCAGACAGACGAAGTGTGTAACAAGAATATATCTCAAAAGTGGAACATTTTACAAAAAGATGATAATGCAAACGATGTAACGCAGCCAGAAAAAAGCAAGTTGAAAATATTTTTCTCTATCATACTAATCATTCTTATATTCATTCTTACGCTTTTAAACCTATTATCTATATCATTAATATTAATATATATGTATATAGGCATGCATGCGTGTGTATAGATAAATAATATATATATATATATATATATATATATATATTTCGGTTCTAATTTAAAATATTTCGTTAGAGCACTACGGTGTGAAAGGCAATGGAAAATCTCTTATAAGATATTAAGTTCAGGTCAAGTACCTGTCTTTAGACCGAGCACCCTTTCATTATAGTGATCTGCCTAATATATACATATACAAATATATACATATATATATACACATATTTATATTATAATTATTGGATTAATTAAATTCGCAAGAGATTAATTAATGTTTCGGCTATTTAATTTTGATGTTAAGATATTTGACTAAATTCTTCTAAGGCGTTACGTCAAATAAAATGTCAAACATTTTAGGATGTTCAAACGTTTTGACATAATATTTTGTGTCATCATCAGTGAGACTCCCATAGACATTTACCATCCTAACTTATAAGTAAACAAAAAAATGTTTTAAATAAATATATAAGCATAATACTCTCCAGCATAATTATTAATTAATAATTAATTATAATTATTATTATTAATAATATATTATAATTTATTTAAAACATTTTTTTGTTTAATAATGTCTATTTCTCTTTATTATCTAATATTCACTGATGATGACATAAAATATAATGTCGAAAATGTTTAGAATATTATTGATTAATTTATATAACTATTTGACTCTTTATATGATGCAGAAATGCCTTAAAAAATATCCATATATATTAGATTTTTTAACTTCCAGAAGGAGAAGTTTGTTTTCATCAAAAATCCGATTCGCTAATTTTATGTTTTCTCGACGTTTCAAGCAATTCTGAATCGAATGAGACCAAATTTGGAAAAAGTATGTGTGTGTGTGTGTGTATGTGTGTGTGTGTGCGTGTATGTGAACAGATTTTTTTATATTTATCTTATATTTAATTAGTTAATTTTTTTATATATTTAATCATTTTTATATTGAATTTAAATTTGAATTTAAAGTTTTGTTTGCTTAGTTTTTATAAACCAATGTGTTAATTTTGAGTGTTTTTTGTTATGTTTTTTTGAGCTTCTATATACTAGATGACCCGACAGACGTTGTCCTGTACCCACGTCTACAATTCAAAAGCTCCAAAATTTTTAATATCCTGTCCTATACGTTTTTTATTTGATGTCCTGTCTTTTTGATTCATTCATGGTTTTTGCATAAACACTATAAAAATTCAGAAAAAAATAATGTAGTATTTGCGGTAAAAGAACAATATCACCCTTGATTTTACCTCACAACATAATTGCTTCAATAATTTAGTCTATAATTTTCATTTTAGTTGCTTTTTGGCAATTACAATTTCTAAAATACAATTTCCTTACTAATAATTTAATAAACATTATTGTTTATATTCAAATCTTAGGTGAATTAATTTGTAAAATCTAGTTTATATGTGCACTCTGCAATCTAAGATCAACTTGCTAAATATTCCATATCCAATGCCAATTTTTGACAATGAAAGAAATTCTAAATCATTTTTTATTAAGTAGAAATATTTTTTGTATTGTTGAATAATTTATAGTAAAGTAAACTAACATGCATAATTCATAATTTAAAAAAATAATGCATATGCACTTTGGACTTATTGCGTTATTTGTTAAACTGAATTATATAATTTCATCTTCCAAACATCTACTGTATCTTTATATTATTTTAATTTCTATCACATTTCAGCTGCTTTTCGGCAATGATAATGTAGACATTATATTTTTTTGTATATTATATTCTAATATCATCTAGACTCATAATTTTAGCTAAACCCAAATTTCAAGTGAATTGACATTTCTAGCAAATGGCAGTTCAGATATTTTCAATGTCACACAATTATAAGTCATTTTTTGTAATTTTTGCCAATAATTTCTACAATTTTACTATAGTTTATTGAATCTTAAAAATTTTCTTTGACAAACTCTAAAAAGAATTATCAAATCCGAATAACCGTTGAGGAAAAGTATCAAATCATACACCCGTATAGGAGAATTTTATATTT